CGGCGGCCGCCGGTAGCCGCCGCCTCGGCCGCAGTGGCAGCGCCTGTGACGCGGAGTTGGCGGCTCAACGAGCCCTCCGAGCTGCGGGATCTGGGGTTTATTTTAGTCCGGCGCCAGATTTACGACAGACTCGGGGGGCGGAGCAACATCCCAAACGAGCAAACAATGATCATTGACATCTTTTTCTCTCGCCTCCTCTCCCCATAACGGAGGCAAAAAAAGTAGAAGGGGCAGTTGGATGTTTCATGAAAAGATCACCCCCTTTTGCTTTCTCCATCCTTCGCGCCTTTATCCGAGGCAGTTACCCCAGCCCTGGACCACCAGAGAAACTCAGAGGCTGGCGTCGAGGCTGGTCGTGAAGGACTCCCTGTTGGTCCTCTTCCAGACTCCAGTTTTCCTAAAGTGACTTCATAGCAGAGTGCAGTATATCTCGGGGAGGGGAGTTTTCAGGGCGCGCTTGGTCCTCTCCAGTTACTGGCCCCACACTTGCTCCATCATCTAAAGTGTTAAAAAGGCGGGGGGGGGGGCTCTTGGGTCCCAGGATAAGAGCACATAAAGAGAAGAGGTACAATGACCGTCCTCTGCTATTGTAGGGCTTCCTAATTTATGCATCTTTAGACCCTTAAGCATCACTTTGTGGGCTACCAAACGGGCACTTCCAAATTAGCTCAAAGTATCCAAATCCAAAGAAGAGAGAAAACATATACAGACACAGACAAATACACAGATGCTCACTCGTGTAAGTATTCTGATTTTACTCTGTGGGGATGGAGATTGAGCAGGGAAAGAAGGTATGTTTTTATTTGCTAACTTGTTTAATGTTCAATTTGCACCTGTAAAGTTTTTTTTACTGCTTTCTTTCCCTTTGTTCTCGTTCTCTTCCTCCTGCCCTCGTAATTGTCTAAATATCTGATTTAGGATTTATTACTTCCATGATCAAAAAGGAAAGAAAAAAGAATCCTTGAAATTCCAAACATTTCTAGTTTCCAAGGAGTCTTTTTGATGTCGTTGGAAAATAGAACCTGTTCAAGGAATGTGAAGATGAATGCAGAAATCAGGTGATAACGGAAATTTTTCTTGAAAAGTACAAAACCACAGGTAAACTGATTTTAGAAACCTTGTCATCCTTTGACTTGTAAATTTACCTGCTGCACAGCAAAGAAGAATGTAAACATTATGAACTGAATGGGACAAAGAATATAACAAAAGTGTGCAAAGCATATTGACTAAATTTTGAAAACAATCTTACAGTGAAAAAAAGAAAAGCAAAACGAAGATTTAAGATTTCCTAGAGACTGGAACAGGAGAAAGAAAAACATGGAGACTGTTTTCTTAAGCAAGATGTTTTGATTATTTTAAAATAAAAAGGAAGAAAAGGATGTGTGAAAACAATTTAAGTTTAGCCTGCCAGCACATGTCATGAAGGCAAGAACGGTGTTCTGATTCCTTTTTCTGTTTGGTTTCAACCCTTTGGTGAGAATGGTTTTGATCTTATTGTTTTAATCATTTTTGTGTTCATTTTAGTGTAGTTTTTCAAGGAATGTGCCCTTGCCAGGAGAGGAAAAAGCCATATGGTCACCTATTTGAAGAAAAGGACAACTAGCCAAGTGTTTAGAGTAATTTACTGAAAGAAGAAAATTCAAAATTACATGAATTATTTACAGACATTAGTAATTAACTTAGTAAGATTAGTGTTGCTACAATTTTAACATGATGCTACTACTTTTGCAGGTCTTTCCTGAACTTCATACTTGGGCTAGGTCTTCATCCTCACCTGCACTGGAATTACCTACTTATTTTTGTTAATTAATGATACACAAAGAAGCATTTATGTATGTGTTTCAGCATTTGCTTGGATCCTTCTGAAAACAACAGTTTGGCTTTTAAGTTTTTGGTTTAATTTAAATTGTATTGTTTGCTGGTATTTATTAACTTAAATAAAAAATAGTAGAAAGTCATTTCAAACTTTTCCTAGAAACAACAGCATAAGTAAAAAACAGTTGTTACAATGTATAAGAATATATAAGTCATTTGTGAACCATCATATTTTATTTCTCAAATTCAAATATATTTCAGAAATGCAACCCATTATCATAATCTTTATGTTGATTAGTTGTCCAAATGGAAAAAATGTTTATAATAGTTTTTTCAGATCATTATTTTATCTACTTTCAGGCTGTGCATTTCAAGCAGTTTACATCAAGTGATTATACTGCTGTAATTTATTGCTTGCTTATTTTGTTTTTCAATAACATTGGATACCGTTACAAGTGCATTCACACCTGGAATCTTTCCATCTTTAAATTTAAGAAAACTACTTCATCATATCTGAAGATTCTCTATAGATAGTCACTTTCTGACTACTTAGGAACTTTCTTCGCTGGAGGTGAACAGCTCTAGAAGGAAAAAATCTAATCTTTAACATTTATCCATATCAATTATTTGTGTCTCATTCTAGAAATTATATATCTTCATGCTGGAAACACTATTTGGATGTGTGTGGAGGATTCTGAAAATAGCGGTAGCCTGAAGGATGTATTTGTATGTTTATATGAGACACAAATCAAACAATCCAGTTGATAGTCCATTGAAGATTTTTATTAATTTCTGCAGATCATGGTCTGCCAAAGTTGTGTATGGAAATTCATACTTAGAGGATTCTTAAAAACTACTGATTAAATTGGATTTCACAGGAAATTCATTTCTCAGGAATATTTTCTTGTTGGTTTTTGTTTTTTAAAATAATACTGGCAGTCGGGAAAAAGAAAAAACAAAAAGAGGCACATACAACCACAGGGAATCCAGTGAAAAACGATGGCTCTCACTCCTCCATTCTCCACTGCCTCTCCTCAGAGGAACTTGGTGTTACCCATTTCTTTTGGGGTAGTCTACATCCTGACACATGACTGTTTTACAAACAAAGGATAGTAAGATCTATGTGATTTGGTACCTTACTTTTTTCATAGTTTAGTTTTTTGTAGTTTCATATGTCACACTTGATTCTGTATAATTTAATAGGGTTAATGTGGAAGATACAGAAAATTTTTGTAGACAGAAAAATTCAGTAGGATCTCTTGGCTTTCTGACAAAAACTGTGGTATTGAAAATCTCTGGTGTGTTAGTTAACCTTAGGGACAAAAGTATTTGGGAAAATAAATTCAGAAGAAAGAGCATTCCCCCGAGTTGGGATTTGCTGTTGTCAGAAGCTCAGCAAAAGGGGCCTGGGAGAAGAAAAAACTTCTGACATAGCCACTTTGAAGTGGGGGTTCCAGCCAGTACTTGGAAAAAAGTTATTTTTCCAGATGGTGAATAGATTTCAAATGAGTCCTGAATTTCCTTATCAAGACAATTTGTGTTTGAAAATATAACTTTCTGCTTGATGTTAAGGAACATTAATACCTTTTAGGAATGAGACATTTGCTGTATTTGTGATTAGTTTAAAATAGTTTGATTAATAATAATTAATAAAATTCTCATATTGTAGAAATAGCTTGAAAACATCATCTTTGCAGTTGGGTAGGGATAAAGAAACACATCAAGGACACTCATTTTGTAATAAAGTTTGAGGTTATAAAGAGGTAAACAAAACTGCCATGGGGATGAAACACAAAGTTCATTTTAATTAGTTTAAAATATTTTGCTAATTGTACTAGTTTAAGAAATGTAGCTCTCATTTCCTTTTAGTCCCCCTAAAGTCTCTGTTTTAAATGTTTATTTCAAAAGTTTGGTATGGTAGTTTTACACTTGTATATACATGACTTAATTATTTCTATATGACACAGTAATCCTTTCATATTTTCTTCACAAAATGCAAACTCCTTGCAGCGTAACTAATTTTTAAAAAATCTAGTCACTCTTTTCTAGGGATTCAGGTATTTTAGATTGAAAATCATTTTCTGTTTACTGACCAGTGTTTATTGTAACCAGTGAACATATTTTAAAGTAATACAATTATTAGTACAATGTGAGAGTGAATGGTAAGTAATAAAGACGTTACAGTTGGCTAAGTCATAATAATGAAGTCCAGTGGAATGATTTCTCTTGTTTCAAAAAACCAAAAAAGGAAAGAAAAAGAGAAGAAAAAGAAAACCAAAGCAAGTAAACTCCCTTTCTAGGGCCAAGATGTGGTACTAGTTTTTATAGTCATGGTAGAGAATAACACTAGTATAACAGGGGTGTTAAATAAGAAAATTGTCCAGAATGTTCCAATTCTCTCATGCTAGGAGTGTGAGCTTGAATGGAAAATTAAAATATTTCTGTTTTAAAAATTATTTTTAAGTATTTTATACCTACATGGTAGATAGGAAAATTGAATACAGTTTTTAATTCAAATTGAATTGTATATCTGATATAGAAAGTTTAAAACATTTTAGAATATAATGACATTTCCATTAAACAGCATTGTTAGTATTTTTTACATTTTTTGAATGCCATTAAATACCTCTTATAGAGGAAAAAAGAATCCTTTGAATTTTGAGCAAAGTCATATTTCTACTGATTATTTTGTGTGAGGAGTTATTCTACCATATCTTATACACACCTCATTAGATTGAATGCATATAGCTTTTAAAAATATGCACTTTTATAACTGTCAATTTTTCCAAACCTAGGAGGTTCAGTGAATTTAATGTCAAGTCTCTTTCTCTCCTTGTAAGTCTCATTAAAGATATAT